ATCTATCCTTATTATATAATTATTTACCCAAATGTGTCTATTTGATGACATAGGCAAATGAACAGACCCTCCTTATCAAACGTTAGGTTTTTTGAAGATGCTAAAATTAGGCATTAATAATAAAAAATGGGTATATATTTTTTTAATCATTCAATGGACCGGTAACGTGAGGGTAATAATTAAATGCTAAAAAAATTATGAATAAGAGATGTAACTACATAAATGTTGAATGCCTTGAAAGAATTTATCTATGAAAATCAATAATTATATGATGAATGTATATTTTGCTCAATTATTATAGAGATATAAAACATTTTTTTTTCACTTATGAGGTTCTTATACACTCGAAGAAATAAGATAAAAACGTTAACATATACTCAATTTATCTCCTGCTTTAAGAGAGTGAGATGAAGAGATATTGCCTTTAAGTTTATCACAAACATATTTCATCGTAAGCTTAAATACTTGAAAGAACTTCAGTGTTCTTTACCTATTGAGTTATTAAAAGCTGATATATTCCGTTGTTCAAATGGGCAAACATTTATAAATACTAATTACTCATAAAACACTTGTAAGTTAATTATATCCGATGATCAAAGAGATATAAACACTTAACATAAACTGATTATATCTTTTGCTTAATTTTGTTCAAAATCTTGAATGCTCCTTACTAGGCACTTCACCTAAGCTGCTCATATGCTTTTGATTAATTACGTGGAAGAGCCAAATGGCACTAAAATTCAGGAATATTTAAAACGTGAATATGGTTTTAAATATAAATAAGATTTAGAAATAGAAATATATATTTCTTGAATTACGAATATTTCTTTTAAAATATGAATATGTCTTGCAAAATGTAAATATATCACATAAAATTTTTTATATCATATGTTCAAACAAGTGAAAGATTTTGAGTGTAGTTTAATGATGGGATGTGATGCACATCCCCTGACAATTATATATATTTTTACATTGAGTTCTCCAAGTATGTTATATTATTAGCTAAATAACTTTTGGCAGCATAAACCAAGCTTCATCGGCGAGAAGGGCAATAACTATAATAAAAATAAATAAAATATGCCTACCATTTATGCAACAGAGTCCATTTTTGGGATTTAAAAAAAATGCATGTTTGCCACAAACGTTAGGTTCAAACATTTAATAGTAATCTTATATTCATGGAAGGCATAAAATAAATAATAAATTTCTTATATCAATATTTCTGTAAAATATAGGAACGCTCATACATACATACATATATGCATACATATATGCGTACGTATATATATATATATATATATATATATATATATATATATATATATATATATATATATATATATATATATATATATATATATATATATATATATATATACATACATATAGTGATATGTATATGTATATAAATCATTTTTTTACCCCGACTGAGACTTGAACCTAGGGTTTATAATTACTACGCCAAGGCACTGCCAACTACACCGCTGGAGGTTAAGAGGAAACACACCTTTTAGCTTATATCTGCTAAAGTAGGAATAAAGACATTCTATATGAATGCCACAATGTTCATATTACACTTTCCCCAACCTCACTCGTGGTCTTGTTTTCGCTTTTAATTTTACTCCCTATCACATTCCGGACCAACAATAACCAAAAAATCACATTACATATGTGAAAACCTGAATATTTTTTTTCCCGACCGGAACTTAAACCTATTACTTATAATTACTAAGTCAAGGCACTGCCAACTACACCACAGAAGGTTAAAAGGAAACTAACCTTATAGATTATATCTGCTATAGTTGGAATGAACGCATTCTATCTGATTGCCACTATGTTCATATTACAGCTTCCTCAATCTCACACGTGGTTTCGTTTTCGCATTGAATTGAACTCCCAATCTCATTCTGGACCAACTATAAGCAAATAAGCACTTTACATATGTGAAAACATGAATAATTTTTTACCCCCACCGGGACTTTAATCTGCACTTATAATTACTAAGCCAAGGCTTAGTAATTATAGATTGAGAGTTGAATTAAATGCGAAAACGAAGCCAATAGTGAGGTATGGGAAACTGTAATATGAACTTAATGGGATTCAGATAGAAGGCGTTCATTCCAAGTATAGCAGATATAAGCTATAAGGTCTGTTTCCTTTTAACCTTCTGTGGTGTAGTTGCTAGCACCTTGGCTTAGTAATTGTAAGTCATAGATTCAATTCCCGCTAGGGGTAAAGATTTATTCATGTCTTCACATACGTAATATGCTTATTTGGTTGTTGTTGGTCCCGAATGTGATTGGGAGTTGAATTAAATGTGAAAACGAAACCACGAGTGAGGTTGGGGAAACTATAATAGTTGCATTTAGATAGAATGCATTCATTCCTACTATAGCAGGTATTAGTTATAAGGTATGTTTCCTTATAAACTTTTGTGGTGTAGTTGGTAGCGCCTTCGCTTAATAATTACAAGTCCTAGGTTCAATTCCAGGTAGAGGTAAAAAAATATTCATGTAATGTGTTTTTTGTATACATTATATATATATATATATATATATATATATATATATATATATATATATATATATATATATATATATATATATATATATATATATATATATATATGTATGTATGTATGTATGTATGTATGTATGTATGTATGTATGTATGTATGTATGTATGTATGTATGTATGTATGTATGTATGTATGTATGTATGTATGAATGTATGAATGTATGTATGTATGTATGTATGTATGTATGTATGTATGTATGTATGTATGTATGTATGTATGTATGTATATATATATATATATATATATATATATATATATATATATATATATATATATATATATATATATATATATATATATATATATTATATATATAATTTAATTATTCCTTTACAATATTTTAAATTAAGTTAAACAGTTTGCCAGAGTAATCGATTATATCACTAGAGAATTAAAACAAAAACCCATTAAGGTTTTAGCAGTTACGGAAACCAGTGATTGGCAATCAATCTTTGGAAAAGCTTCAATTTCATTTACTAGGCCATGTCGTGATACTTGTAAAAAGCAATACAATTTCCGCTATATGATGCCTGGGAACAGAGGTGGGTAAATACGAGTTGAAAAGAGAGAATGAGTAAGTGATAGATAGGTAGATAGACTGATATATGGACGGTTGAACGGACGGCTTAGAGGGAGAGAGAAGTTAAAAAAAGGAAAATAGACAGACAGACAGACAGACAGACAGACAGACAGATAGGCCGACAGACAGGCAGGCAGATAGATTTAAAGAGAGAGATAGAGAAAGAGAGATGGAAAAAAGGTAGACAGAAAAATATAATACAATAGTCAGATCTCTGGAAATCGATAATTTCGCCATTTCTAAGGATTAGTCTTGAGTTATGGAAAAAATTCTTCCTCTCTGATTCTCGAAAATGAATCATGCTACCAAGAGTCCACATGCAAAACCACATTTTACTATCTGGGAAGGAAAACAATATGGGTACTACAACATGTTGTTGTGAGCCTTCCAACCGAATGCTATTCCAAAGCAACTATTAAGACCAAGTGCTGTTCCAAATTCGCATACAAAATTCTCCAGTTTTCCAAATATCTTGAAAAACAAGTATAAGAAGCAATTCATGTTCCATATTATTCCTAGTCGGTATATAAAGCTTTCACATGCAGCAAAATAACTTATTTGTCGGACTCGCTTTCTCCACAGGTGTTCCATACTCCTGGAATATAAACTCTGGAAAAACAAGAATACTCGGAAAAGTAAATTGAGTGAAAATTAAAAAAAAGAGAGTACAAATAAAATTCGTGTGGTAAAAGACGGATCTCTTTCCTGTGGCGGAGGAAAATGCCAATATTAAAAAAAAAAAAAAGTTATTTCCAAATAGAAATTCACGCTTTAAAAACAAGGAGCTTTTATCGAAGGCAAGAAAAATTGAATAACTTCTTAACTTTTTGTAAAGTTTGCATTTGTTCTCATGCAGATATATGTATATATATGTGTGTGTGTGTGTGTGTGTGTGTGTGTGTGTGTGTGTGTGTGTGTGTGTGTGTGTGTGTGTGTGTGTGTGTGTGTGTGTGTGTGTGATTACCTAATTGTGATTACCTAATTGTGTTTACGGGAAAGAGCCCAAAGCTCGTATCTTCCCGTCTCCTGATCGGTTCCATTTTATACTTAGTGATACTTATCATACCTGTCCTTAAAACTATGGATTGAGATAGCATTAACTACCTCCTCGCTAAGCCAATTCCAATTATCAACTACTCTTACACTGAAAAAGTATTTCCTTACATCCTGCAAAGAAGTTTTCTTACGAAGCTTCAAACTATGACCTCTAGTTCTAGAGCCAGCCATATCAAAATATCGATCCCTATCCACTCTATCATAACCATGAAGGAATTTCAAGACTGTCACCATATCCCCCCTCACTCTTCTAGCTTCGAGTGATGGTAAGTCTAATTCCCTCAGCCTCTCATCATAACTGAGATTGCGTATTTCTGGCACCAGTTTCGTGGCATGTCTGTGTGAGTGTGTGTTTCAGGATTCGAAATAAGAGTCTGTATAATAGGATATCCGGTCCAGGTCTTTATGACGGCTGAATCTTGCAAACCTCAGTGTGTGAAAAGGAGAATCTGTTTGGTATCACGACTTACATAAACTGTCCAGATGTACTTAACAGTTCAGAAGATCAATTCTGCTCTTGGACGAAAAGGAATCGATATTGTTGCACCTCACCGTTGTGAATGACGATTCTCTGGTCAAAGAGTATGCTGCAAAGTTACCTGTGATTTTGGGTGTTATTAGATCTCTGATTCTGGGTTTAATTATTATGTGTGTCATCTGCTGTTGTTGCTGTCCATTCTGCCTTCTGCACAAACGACGCAACAAGGGTGCCATTCATAACCTGAACACAGCTAATGTAACCGTAACACAACCACTTCAACCCATGCAGCATCAGCAGCCATATCCACCAGCTCAACCATATGCCCATCAGCCATATCCTGCTCAACCTGGGTATCCACCACAACAACCGTATTCCCAACAACCTGGATACCCACCTCAGCAGCCCTGTCCTCCACAGCAAGGATACCCTTCACAGCCATATCCACCTCAAGGAACTGTGTACCCAGATAGTACAAATATGTAAGCCTTGAGAATTCAATATTTAATTACTGTGGTGGCGGTCACAACATCAAAAAAGCCCCAACGTATTCCCTATGTGTCGTAAGAGGCGACTAAAAGTGGACGGGGCTAGCGAACTGGGAATCCCCCTCTAGTATTAACCTCCTGCGAGACGTCACAGAAGAAGGGGAGTAGAGGGGAGAGTAACCTCTCCCCAAACTCTAGGTTTGGGGTGTCTAAAGGTGCGTGGTTGTAGTACAATAGAGAGCAAAAGATGTGAGATTGGATATATGTTTGGTAGGAGGAGGATGGATGTATTGGCATTGTGTGAGACGAAGATGAAAGGAAAAGGAGAAGTGGCATTTGGTGATGTGACAAGTAGGGTGTCTGGGGTTGAAAGGAGAAGACCGAGAGAAGGTGTGGCATTATTGTTGAGTGAATGGATGATAAATGAGGTAGTGGAATGAAAAGAAGCGAGGCTAATAGGGGTGAGGGCTAGGATAGGTAGGGAATGTTAGGCTTTTGTTAGTGCGTATGGGCCAGGATGTGAGAGAAGTGAGAAAAAGCGGGATACATTCTGGAATGAGTTAACTAGGTGTGTGGATGGTCTGAGTAGAAGAAACTGTGTAGTTATGTTGGGTGACTTGAATGCCAATGTGGGTGGTGGAGAGGGAGAAGGTGTTGTAGGAAGTATGTTGTACCAGGTGGGAATAAGAGTGTCGAGAGACTGGTAGATATGTGTGTGGAGAAAGAATTGGTGATAGGTAATAGTTTTTTTCATGAAGAAATAAATAAATAAGTATACGTGGATGAGAGTGGCAAATGGAAGAGTGAAAGAAAGAGCATTGATGGATTATGTGTTGGTAGCAAAGAGCATGATTGGTAGAGTGAAAGATGTGCATGCATTTAGGGGTGTGGTTGCTGGGATGCCTGATAATTTTTTGGTTGAAGCAAAAGTGGTAGTAGCAAAAGAGTGGGGAAATAGAGTGGGGGGATGTAGAAGTGCAATGGTGAAGGTGGAAGAGTTGAAAAAGCCAGAGAACAGCCAGGGATATCAGGACAGGTTGAAAGTGGTATATGGCACGGTGAAAAAAAAGAGAAGTTGGGGAGTTAGAGGAGGAATGGGGTTGATGAAAGAATGTTTTGTGGGACATGCAAGTGATGTGGAGAGAGGTTTGCTGGAGGTGGCATGAGGAGGGGCAGTGAGTGGTGGAATGAAGGGGGTGAAAATGAAGGTGTAAGAGAAAAAGAGGGCTTTTGAGGAATGGCTGCAGTGTAAAAGTAGGGAGAAGTATGAAAGATATAGGAAGAAAAATGTGGAAACCAAGCGGAAGGTAGAGGAAGAGAAGTGGTTGGCAAATGTAAGGTTGGGACAGGATTTTAGTAGGTCATATGAGGAGAAAAAAGAGAAGTTTTGGAAAGAAGTGAAGAGAGTAAGGAAGGGTAGATCGAGGATACAATGCAAGGAAAAGATGGGTAGAATATTTTGAGTGCTTGCTGAACGTTGAGGAAGATAGAGAGGCAGCTATAATGGCAGTGGGGGTGTTCAAGTGCCAGTGATGGAAGATGAAAATGAAAGAGAGATTACAAAAGATGAGGTGGAAAGGGCATTGTATGAAGCGAAAGCTGGTAAAGCACCTGGAATGGATGGTGTGAGAGCGGAGATGTTGAAAGAAGGGGATGTGACTGCACTGAAATGGTTTGTGAGAGTGTGTAATATATGCTTTATGTTGCCAATGGTGCCAGTGGAATGGGTGCTTGCTTGTATAGTGCCCCTATACATATGTAAGGGAGATGTGTATGAATGCAGTAATTTTAGGGGTATAAGTTCGTTTTTTGTGGTAGGAAAAGTATATGGTAGAATACTATTTAATAGGATTAGGGATAAGACAGAAAATGTGATCTCGGAAGTGCAGAGTAGTTTTAGGAGAGGTAGAGGTTGCATAGATCAGATTTTTATAGTTAGGCAGTTATGTGAGAAATATTTAGCAAATGGTAAGGATGTGTATTTTGCATTTTTGGGTCTGGAGAAAGCGTATGATAGAGTTGATAGTGAGGCAATGTGGAATGTTTTGAGGTTATATGGAATTAATGGTAAACAGTTGCATGCAGTGAAGAGTTTGTATGAGGGCTATAGAGTTTGTGTTAGGGTAGGGAATGAAGTGAGTGAGTGGCTTCCAGTGAGTGTGGACCTGAGACAGGGATGTGTGATGTCACCATGGCACTTCAATTTGCATAGTGATTGAGTCGCAAGAGAGGTGAATGAGCGAGTGTGTGGTCGAGGTTTGAGAATGGTAGATGGGGATGATAACGAGTGGGAGCTGAATCAGATGCTGATTTGGAATGG